GAAGATTGGGCGTGGATCTTCCAGAATGCCTAGATTTAGTTCATTGAGGTCATCTATTGTTGATTGTACGCCTTCCTCCAGTTGAGGGGGAGCCTCTTGGACATCATCATATGTATCATCAATGTTTGGACCTTCTTCCACTGTTATGTGATAGGATGATTGTGTCAAGTTTGAATCTTCCATCTGACTTTCCACAAATACTGTGATGGCTTCATCTTCCTCCTTCTTAATTTCTCCATGAAATTGGTTGGTGACAACAATTGTGCTTCTTTTCACCTTCAAAGAACTATCGGTGGTGATTGACAATATAGTATTTCTCTTCATACGTGATGAGAAAACACTATGAATCTCTTTTTTGCCAGTTACATCACAAAAATCTTGATTTTCATGCTCCAGCAACCTCCTTTCGGATAATGACTTTCTTTTGGTTCCCAAGCGAAGAAATACAAAAGTCTTTGAGGTGGTGACATATTCGTCCACTTGTTTAGAAGATCCTCTTTCATCCTTATGGCCCAATCTTTCGAATGAAGAGACACGGGGTGTCAATCTTCCAATGTGTTCAAACACCGAAGTCCGTTGTGTTGCTATACCCTCCTTAGATTTCTTTGTCTTTTCTATAGAGGTGTAGTGGGATGAAGTTATTTCTTTCCCCTTCGTAGATGAAATCCGAAGAGGCTCCGGCAAGCTGAATCCTAAACCAAACTTAGGAGTGGCGACATGATATCCTTGCTTTCTCAACTTCATTTGAGAATTGTAAACCCGTGTATCTTTTCACTAGTGACTTCATCCATAAGTTCTCCTAACTTTGCTGGATTTGAGAAGCCGTAACCTGATTTTTCAAACAATGTGAAGGCCTTTTTATCAATGTTCCCTTTTTATCTTACCAACTTGGGTATTGCCTTTTGAGGGCTCCAAAGTGATAGGCGAGACTTGTGCAACTGGGACAGTCATTTTCTCCTTCAAATCTTGGAATGTTATGTGACTGAGTTCCTTCCTCGGTGGGTGGACTTGTTGAGTACATTCTTGTAGAAGTGGTTGTCCCTTTTTTCGATGCTCATGTGGAATGTAGCGAAAAATTGGTTGCTCATTATCAATAGTGGTCAGCATGTCTCCTTTAGATGGTGAGAACTTAATGGAAACCTCTTCCGCTCTTTTCTTAGACATCTTGATAGCGGCCCATTGAACTTTACTATCTTCGAGATCAATTGAGTCGGCTTCTACATGTTCCTCCATATTTGCTCTTCCATAATCTAAATAGAATTTTGCATCTGCAAAATATGACTCCGTCTCAGTGAAAGGATTGATGTCTGTATTTATTTTGACTACTTCACCATCTTTAATATACTTCATGCACTGATATAAGGTAGATGGCACCACTCCATTTTCATGAACCCAAGGACTCCCGAGCAACAAGTTGTATGATGTTTTGGCATCTATGACATGAATCAAAGTGTTTGATTTCACGTCGCTAATGGATAATCCTACACAAATATTCCCTATGGATTGTTGTCCTCCTTGATTGAAACCTTGGATCGTTAGATTGCTTTTGGATAATTCATTAATAGAGATCCTGAGTTTTTTCAAAACAATTTTTGGCATAATATTGACTGCCAAACCACCATCGATTAGAATGTGATTGAGATGTTGTTCTTGAATAGACCCTACAACAACAAGGGCCTATTATGTAGCTTAGACCCCAACAACAAGTCATCAGTGAAGGCAATTGTAGCACAACATGGGGCAACTTTTTCATCAGTTTGATGTTCTCGTGTTATTGTTGGATTATGCTCACCTTTGCTTCCTTTTGTTTCGTCTCTGCTGGAAATAACATGTGTTGCACCAATTTGACTACCGCAAAAGAATTTTTCAGGAAAAAATTCATCCAATGTCATGGGCCTTCGAACCTTCTGCGATGAAGAACCATTGATCTTTTGGCTAGTACAAGGCTTGACGCTTTTGATGGTTGTAGTTGATTCAAATCATTCCTTGTTGCTCTTGTCTTAGGAAGTCATATCCTAAGGACTGCTTGATGTCTCCGCTTCTTATGAATAACCAATGTCCAACCATCATATTCATTTTTTTGTGGTTGTCTATCTCTAGTGAACCCTCAAGATTTTTCCTTGGAAAATCAACTTCAATAGGCGCTAAATTTCCGAATCACAAGAAGGTGGTGTTTGGCATAGACGACGACCTTGAGCACTTTTTTTGATTTGGTGCTACACTAGCATGATTTGACTCCGCTGGTTCATCTTGGTCAATGATGATTTTTCCTTCACTTACTAACATCATGATTTTCTCCGTCAAGATAAAGCATTTACTTGTCAAGTGACCAAGGACGCGATGGAACTTGCAATATCTAGGATTACCAACCTTATTGATCTCTTCGAGCCTCTTTGATTCAGGAAGATCAATAACTTTCTTAGCTAACAATACCTCAAGAATCATAGGTACATTAGAATTTGGAAATGGGTAGACCTTTGCCTCTAACTCCTTCAAGGTTGGACGTCGCCTCCCTTGGATATTGACTCGGGGCTTCCTCCTCTTTTTGTTTACTCTTGGTGGTGACCTTTACAGAAGTTGCTTCCACCGCCATAGATTCCTTAGTTTGGGTCTTTGAGGTCATACCTTTTCTGAACTCCTTCTTTTCTTTTGTCAGATCAGCAAAAGGAGATGCCTTCCCATGACTCGCGATGCTCAACTTCATTTCATGCGCTCGTGTAGCAAGTTCCTCAAAAGTTTGTGATCTGATTCCTTGTAGTATGTATAGAAGTCCCCAATGCATACCCTGAATGCACAATTCCACATAAGATATTTCAGAAAGACGATCTTTGCAGTCCAAACTCAATGATCTCCACCAATTGATGTAATCCACCACATGCTCTTCCTTTCTTTTGCTTAGTGCCGGTCAACTCTATCATGTTTACGATTCGGCGAGTACTGTAGAAACGATTGAGGAATTTCTTCTCTAGTTGCCCCCAACTATCAATGAACTCGTGTTCCAAGTCGATATACCAGTCGAATGCATTCCCTTTCAGCGATCGAACAAACTGTTTTACCAAAAGGTCACCATGTGTTCCAGCATTGCTACAAGTTTCAATAAAGTGGGTGATATGCTGCCTTGGGTTCCCCTTGCCATCAAATTGTTGTAGCTTTGGTGGTTGATAGTTTGTTGGCACTGATAGACAATGAATCCATCTGGTATATGGCTTGGAGTAATACAAGGAACTTTGTGGTGTTCCGCCATATTGAGCCCTGGTAGTGTTCGTTATCATGTCTTGCAACTGTTGGACAGATAGTGCAGCAACTGAAGCAAATATTTTCTCCTTTTGAAATTTCGATTTTGCTAGAGATTCCTCAACGTCCTTGTTTCATTTATCAAAACCAGATGGACAAGTGGGGACATGACTTGACTCTATAGGTGTGAAGGCCTCCAACTTGTTCATAAGTTGAGCAATATGAAGATTTTAGTCATCAACAGATTTCTTCAAGGCGTCAATGGGTTGCTCCATCAACGCAAACTTCTCATCCATGTCAGTTGAGTCAGCCATCAAAGCATTGACATTCATTGAAGTTGGACAATTCATTGAATCTTCAGATTCACCAAAGTTGGAGCCAATTTAAGAAAATTCTCCAAAGAACACAGACGCAAGATTTCCCCTAGTTGTTGCACTTACGACCATCGTATGAGAGTTGTTGTTTTTCATCTCCTCAAAAGAAGTGAAGTATTCAGATCCATCTAGCCCACTGTTCTTGAACTTACACAGAGTAATCGAGCCAACATGACTGAGATAAAAAGATACAACATCAGTAGTGTCCTTGTAAGAAAAATCACTACTCTTTTTTAAGGCCATTGCAGTAGTTGCCTTTGTAGTTTCTGATTTGCAAGAGAAAGAGATGAAGAGCAGAATCGGTCCCACTGGGCGTGCCAAATTTGTTCGCAACAAATTTTCGTAAGCGCTGAAAATTGACTGCAAGCAAAATAAATGAAAGAAAAATGTGATTTTTATTAATGAATCATTGTGAGTACAATTCTAATGTTCTCTTGATTCTCTCTCCTCAGCTTCTCCAAGATTTGAGGGCCTTCAGTAGGGTACTTCTCAAATTATTGGATGAAGTAGACCTCCTTGAGATGTTATTGATCCCCGGAAATGTCGGAAAGCGCTTCTCCATTTCAAGTCAATCTCCGGGAAGAACTCCATTGATCACTCCTTCAAAGAGCTATGCAGTTGATGTTGTAGGTTTCTCCAATTGCAGAATGCTTGTTGAAGAGTTTTCTTGATTCCCCTTAGAATGTCATGTCCATCCCCTATTTATAGTTATAGGGGGTGGACAAGGTTGCGTATGATTGGAAGGATGTCATTTTGACACTTGGCATATTGGGATTGGTTGTTGCACTTGATTGGCACTACAACCTTATTTGGACATGTGGCGCTGCCTTATTGATCTTGGATTCCTAGTCATTGTGACATGTGTAATGAGTTTTGGGCTTCAAGGTGAAATGGACCTTGGATTGGTTTTAATAAAATGACTTTCTTTATTTGTAAAGCCCAAATTAATCATTCAGCACGAATTTAATTCAAATTTCGTATGAATTTAATCCAATAAAATTTATATGTCTACAGGTATGTTATTGGGTACAGGAAATGCAATATATATCATGCATAAAGAGATTTTTGTATGGAAGAAGAATTTTTTTGTGATTTCTACTCTTATTTTGGAGATTAAAATTGTCACGCCCAAAATCCCATTAAGGCGGACCGGCACCCATTGCCGAGAAGGCTCGGGAGGACCAACCTGTAATCATGCTCTATCTATGAACATTTACAGGTGCTGCCATAGTGGATAACATGTTTTCATGAAAGTAGACAGTATTAACAAGCCAAAAGAAAGTGCACATGACTTGGCCGTTGGGACCATGATGTCTAAGACACGAGGCACAACCACACTTCACTATACATAGTCTACAAAGACCTCTAAGTGATAAACATTATGGGTTAAGGTCGGGACAGGCCCCGCCTTACACTCAGCTACTATACAATACCAAAATACATGCTATAGACTCGGAAAGCCCCGAATCAACCTGGAGCTCACCAATAGCCGCTGGATGTCCTGTTCTCCTACTGGGGAGATCTACTAGCTCATGTACCTGCAACATGAATTGCAGGTTCCCCGAGAGAGACGTCAGTACGGGAGAATGTACTGAGTATGTAAGGCATAAAGTATTGTATGTGAAATAAGAACTCAAATGAAATCATATACCAATGTAAGAATATAAGACCACCTTTTCTCATATTATGGAATCAGGTAATTTACATTCTTTCTTTACTTTATCATTCTTTACTTTACACTCTATGCACATCATATAATACAAATGACCAGCTGATCAGTGGTAGACATATAAATCAGGATCGACCCATGCTAGGTGATTCTTCCACCCCTGGGATACCACCCATCAATAAGCAGATTCATTTAATATCTTTCCATTAACATGTGAGATGATTCTTTGGTGGTCATAGCATTTTTGAGTTGTGGGACTAAGCAGTCAACAAGTGACATGTAATAATCATATAATGCAAGAACAACAAAGTAGAGAGTAGTTACACAATTAGTGAAATGCATAGGAGCTGAAATAACATATGGACCTTATTTAGTTAAAAGGAGAACGCATGCGGGGTATTCAATGTATATGTACAAATTTGACAATGAACATGTATTGGAATGTGCATCCATGTTAAAGAGTGAGATCAAGGTCATAAGTCGCGTTGGAGCTGGTAGGCTGCCTCTATGTGTCGAGGACGAGTCTAGATTTCCTGCCAATTAGTAGGAAATTGAAAAGCCTTACATACCTTGTTGTACCAACTTGTAGTTACCTTGAAGTACCTTCCTTTTTTTTCAAATACTTATCTACAATAGAGTAGGTGATAAACTAGAATAGTTACTAAACATGCTTAGGCAGTCCAATCTCACTCAACAATAATGCTCAGGCAGCAAACCCGTAATTACCAAACTAAGTGTAACGTCATGCAATTTGAAATAACTCTGAAGAAGCTTGAAATTGGAAATAGTCATTTTTGGAAAAATTCAGAATCTGGAAATTGGCTATGGGAAACAAAATGAGTTTTTGGTCAACTTTGAACAGTCATAACTCCTAGCTCAGTATGATTTAGTTGTAGTTCCAGTTATGTTTGGAAAGCCCTTGGAATGATCTTTCCAACGTCGCCGAGTTTTCTTGATTCCGTATTTGTATGAGTGAGTTATGCCCTTTGGAAGTTGGGCTGTCGGCAGGGCTCCCGAATTTGTAAGGGTGTTTTGGTCTTTTCCCTAGACATTTCTTTTGGTTATATTGATGCGTTAGACTGATTTTAAATCAGTTTTTCCCCTTTAAAAGTGAGAGTTAGGGATTTTTGAGAGAAGAGAGAAAGAAGAGGAGAAAGAGAAGAAGAAACAAGGAATCGTCAAGATCGTCGTGGTTTTCATCGGGGGTGATCCCTATTAAGGTATGTGAGATCATAGTGTTGGGTTGGTTCATTCCCCACACGCCAAACTCGCTTTAAATTCCGAGAAAAGATTGGTTGTGTTGTTGAAGTTGTGGTTTTGATGTTGAAGTTTCTTGTTGGTTGGGTGCATGTTTCCGGTTGTGATTTCAAGTTGAATCCATTGTATAGTATGGGGGTTTATGATTCTAAATGTTTGGGGCTGGAAACTTTGAAGTTTAGAAGGTTTAGAGTTGGAGAAATTAAGGAGAAAAGTCGAATTTTTGGGGAAAAGGGCTGGGGCATCGCACCAGCCAGCGCCCCCCAAAAGGGACTCTGAAGTCTAGCCCTTGGGGCGGCGCGCCTAGCAGAGAGCCCAGCAGGCCCCTCTGAAGTTTGAGGGCTGGCGCTCCGCGCCTCTCAGAGCGCCAAGGACGCCAACCTTTCCCATTCTTTCCCCACTTTTTCATACATGTTCCTTGGTAATGTACCTATGTTTTATTAGTTTGTTTTCCTACACTCCAAGGTACGTCTAAACGTCAAGAACTCATCCATAAACATGAGATCATTACCCCTCAAATCCGTACTCCAATTCGAGGAAAGTTAGGATCAAGTCAAGAGAAGTTAAAAGTCAAGTTTAGAAGTTAAGAAGCAAGTCTTTAAAGTTTTTCAAGAGTCTTTATTAAACGTTTTAACTTCGTTTTAAGGCTCAAGTTTCAGTTAAGTCAAGAGTATAGAGTTGAGTTCATTTCTCAAAAGTTATTAGGGAACTATGTATTCCCAAAGAAGTTTTATAAATGTTTTCACATTTGAGCAAAGAAGAGGGAACTTTGATTCCAAAAGAGCCTTTGGGCTAAGCTTTGAGCAATTATCTCAAACTAAAGAAAATGTGTTTAAAACACTTATGAGCTAAAGTATATTTTGGGAGTAGTCTTGAGCACCGAATTGGGGACATGAGTCCATATTAACTCAATTCTCCATAAGAACCATGTAGCCAAACATGGGATTTAACGGGTCATACTTTTTAGATGATCACGTAAGTTAAGCTAGTGGATCCACTAAGTTAAGTAAAGGTCCTTTATCATGTCAAGGTAAAGGATGGTCCTTGGGCAACGTGAGGTAAAACGTTGTATCATCACTAGGGTTCATAGTGGTGGTTGTCGGTTAAAGAATCTCCCACTAAAGTTATATTACTTTTATATAAGTAAAGTTGAGTTTGTTATTGTTTTATCCTTAACGAATTAAGTTGTTTACATTGTTTTACAAGCATTTATATATATTGCATATGTCTTAATGCTTTATATTGAGTTCGGTTATTCATGAGTCGAGCACAGCCAAGGTAAGAGTTCCTTTGTATTCCTTCCAAGCTTAAATTGTTGTTTAGCTTTTCAGCTCGCATACTCGTACATTCAATGTACTGATGACAGTTGTCCTGCATCTTATGACGATGCAAACACAGGTACCCCGGATCAGCATCCAGCACGCCGTTGATCCAGCTGAGCACTCCAGAGTCAGTGGTGAGCCCCATTGCCTTCTGGAGGACTCTGTTATTTTGTGTTCCTAGTTTTGTTTTATTAGGGTGTTGCGGGGTATATCCCAACATCCATCTCAGTGTTATAGAGGCTTCATAGACAGTCAGTCAAGAAGTATTGAGTCTCTCATCTATGTATATATGAAAACTCTATTTTGAGACACGAGTTGCCTTTTGGCATGTTATGCATCAGTTAGGTTGTTTTATAGCATTGCATTGCATTGAGTTATTCTGTTGAGTTAGGTTTTTGCTGAGTTAAGAAAGCCAGGCCAAGGGTTCGCTTGGGGCCAACAATGGTCTTCGAGTGCCGGCCACGTCCAGGGTGTAGACTTGGGGCGTGACACTAAGGTTGTTCTTTCAAACTCCGCCTTCTTTTATTGCATTTGTACACTACACAACTATATTTCAATATCAACAATTTACACCCTTTCCAGATATCAACCAAGCTGTCCCCAATATGTTTATACATCAACATGTCCCAAAAACAGTCCTAACAATCCAACATACAATAGAGGACATGAAACCATAGTTTCCCATCATCATCCCACGAGTTCTTATCAACAATACACTTAAAATATCATACTTAGACTCGTGTTTAAGGAATACAAAGATAGGGCAGTCACTTTACCTTAATTCTTATAACTCATTTTTTTTATAATTTTAACTCTTCAATAACTTGAGCTTCCCTTCACATAGGCCAAAAGAAAAAAGAGAAAAAGCCTCTCAATAACAAAGGAAAGTGAGCAATTAAAACTTTTGACAGATTCAGTCCTCTACTTGTTCTTAACTAATTAACATGTTTATCTAGCATTCCATGAGAGTATTAGGCTAAATCCATTAGTAATTCCACTTATCTTACCTTGCAAGGGCTTGGGTTTATCCAAGAACCCTAGGAAACTTGTGGCTGTTGCTATGCTTTGAAAGAGAGAGGAGAAGCTTAGAGAGAAATCTGATTTTTATCTATTCTAATAGTGAGGAAATGGCCAGCAACTTGGGGATTATAAAGGTCTTACTTTTCCCCACCTCTTAAGTTTTAACATAAGCCAGTAATTTGTCAAATTGGTCCAAGTAGGTGATGCACCTGCTAGGAATTATATATACACAAAAATAGGCCCTTTATGTACTCATCTTGGGCTACAATCTTTCCCCTTTCTAATATTAAGCCATGGGCCAGAATTATACCCTTAATTTGGGCCTTAGTCTTTATTGGGCTCAAGTAGTTGGACTTGGACAGATTGGTGTGAGGCCTCATATCCATTCCCTTTTTCTTTTTATTTAATTTGGGCCTCAAGTGAGCCCACTAATGCATGAACTAATCTTCCCCATCTACCTAGCCCATTTGAGCTAAGAAAGTAAGTGACACCTGCTAGCTTTATAAAGTCCAACAAGCACCTCAATTCTTTTATTCGTTTTCCGAGCGTAATCTCTTTAGTTTAATTCAAAACTTATATACACTTGATCACCTTAACATTTAGACTTACATATAGCCCTTCAATCCAGAATTTAAAAACTTCTAAACTTTGACGTTCACTCGATCGTGCAATATTGCAATGTACGGGAGTTATACTTATAGCTTCTTTATTGTCACCATTCATCTAGGAAATCAAGTTCATTACTTATACCACCAAGCTAAATCAAGTTCCATATGTGTAGGACTTGTACAGGTAAAATACGGGGTGTTACATCCTCCCCCCCTTAGGAACACTCGTCCTCGAATGCTAGCATAATCAGATAGCTTAAATAAGTTTAAACCTTAGTTTAAATCAATTGTTAATCACAGAAGAAATACCCTGTTCATGCGTACCTATTAATGCCCCCATTTTGCACTTTGGACTTCCCCTTTAGGTTCAAATAAAGAAGGGTACTTGGATTTCATCGCTTCCTCAGCTTCCCACGTTACTTCTTCCACTTGTTGGTTCCTATATAGAACCTTTACTGAAGCCATTTCTTTATTCCTTAGCTTTTTAACTTGACGATCCAGAATAGCAATAGGTACTTCTTCATAGGTGAGATCCCCTATAACTTGTAGATCTTTTATAGGAGTGATATAGGATGGGTCACCTACGCACTTTTGAAGCATTGAGACATGAAACACCGGATGAACTGCTGAAATCTCCTGAGGTAGCTCTAACTCATATGCAA